CTTTTTTAAAAAAAAAAAAAAAAAAAAAGGTCCCCCAGCCCCTACAATTTTCAGACACACAACATTTTTTTATTTTTTTTTTTTTTTTTTACCATTGCAACCCATTTGTTTAAACAACTTAATCGTAGCCAGGTGGGCGATGAAATTTTTGGGTGTAAAAAGTACAAAATAATAAAGCACTGTAAAAATTAAAACCAAAATTCAGTTTTCTCCAAATTTCAGTTGTGTTGATGTACCTCCCAGACTTCTTTCGAATACCCCAAAGGGTACTCATACCACTGGTTGAGAAACACTGCACTAAAGGAGCTTTTAATAAGGTCTTAATGTGTGTCTTATTTCTAATATGTAATAGTTATCAGTTGCATTCCCTGGGTTTTATGCATATCAGTAGCTCTTAAATAGAGCTCTTTCAAGGGGTCAGCAAACGTGTGGATAAGGGGGATCTAGTAGCTAAAGTATATTCAGATTTCTAGATAGCCTTTGACAAGGTCCCTCACCAAAGGCTCTTAAGTAAAGTAAGTTGTCATGAAATAAGAGGGAAGGTCCTCTCATGGATTGATAACTCATTAAAAGACAGGAAACAAGAGGTAGGAATAAATTATATGTTTTCAGAATGGAGAGAGGTAACTAACCAGTGGTGTCCCCCAAGGGTCTGTACTGGGACCAGTTTTGTTCAATCTATTTATAAATGACCTGGAGAAAGAGGTTAACAGCGAGGTTGCAAAATTTGCAGATGATACTAAACTGCTCAAAATAGTTAAGACCAAATCAGACTGAAGAGCTTCATAAAGATCTCAAAAAACTAAGTGATTGAACAACAAAATGGAGGGATAGCTCAGTGGTTTGAGCATTGGTCTGGTAAACCCATGGTTGTGAGTTCAATCCTAGAGGGGTCCATTTAGGAATCTGGGGCAAATCTGTCAGGGATGGTAGTTGGTCCTGCTGTGAGGGTAGGGGACTGGATGCAATGACCTTTCAAGGTCCCTTCCAGCTCTATGAGAGAGGTATTTTTTAATGGACATTGGAAAAAATAATCCCAACTTTACATGCAATATGATGGGGACTAATTTATCTGTAACTACTCTGTCAGAGGTTGGGAATGGGTGACAGGAGAGGGATTGTTTGAAGATTACCTGTTCTGTTCACTCCCTCTGGGGCATCTGGTATTGGCCACTGTCGGAAGACAGGATACTGGGTGAGATGGACCTTTGGTCTGACCCACTATGGCCATTCTTATGTTCTTATATAAAAAAATCCTAACTCCAGATGAGTTTGAGAGTTGATTTTCTTTCCTTAGCTAGTTGATAGATCAGATGATGTAACATTTAACATAATGAAATATGAATTAATCATAAATAATTCATAATAATGTTACTATACGTTTAATTTGCATTCTGAATTAGGCATTGCATGACCATTTGTTTTTCAGATTTCATCATTGAAAATGGAGATTCTGTCTCAGGAATCAGATTTAAAATCACAGGAAGATGATCTCAATAGAGCAAAAGCAGAGCTGAATCGTCTCCAGCAAGAAGAGACTCAACTAGAACAGAGTATTCAAGCAGGAAAGGTGCAACTTGAAACAATAATTAAATCTTTAAAATCAACACAAGAAGAAATTAATCAGGTATTCTCTGTAGCCTTGTACATATCTTTCATCTTCCATTAAAACACAGTATTTTAGGAAGGGATGAACTGCATCTACAACGCAAATCCTGTAGAAGTAAAATAAATATGATTGTATAGGCTTTTGTGACTGTGGACTAGCAGTGGACTACAAGTTCATATAAAAAATTAGTTGGGAAAGTATTGTGACAATTTGACAGATGTATTTAGCCTCATGCAGATTTACTCCATACCTCTGTAATCCTGTGATAACCAAATTCCAGAGTACTGGAAACCCTTGTCATTCACAGTAGAGGTGTTCCTGACACCACCACGAATGGTGACATTCACAAATACTGGGGTCTGTGGTTCCTGGCCCCCAAGTTGAGCTTCCTGTGGTTCCTGAACTCACCACTGGGGCTAAGCTGCCGGGAGCCATGGTTAGTTCCCTGTGGCTCCCCCATT